CATCCATCCTTCATCCATCATCCATCCATCCATCCATCATCCATCCATCATCCATCCATCCATCATCCATCCATCATCCATCCATCCATCATCCATCCATCATCCATCCATCCATCATCCATCCATCATCCATCCATCCATCATCCATCCATCCATCATCCATCCATCCATCATCCAGTGAAACTCACAGATTGCTTCAGTGCTCATTTGTTCTTCATGTTGATGTTCTGTGATTTATTTAGCCTGATTGGACCTGAACACTTCCTTATCTGTTCCCTCAGCTGCAGCTCTCCTGCTGACCTTTTCCTGCTCCTCATGCAGAAACAGAACCTGTGGTTCTGAACCATTTATCAGTTTAAAGCTCCTGCACTCCAGAGCCCTCCTCACCTGAACACAGTTTATTATGCAGATGTGCCCTCATCAGAAATTCAAATGGTGCAAATTTAAATTGTAAATCTCACCACTTTAAAAAAACAAAAGAGCAGAAAATAAATAAAGCATGTGCTCAGGCTTTACTTGGATAAAAACACTCCAGTGGACAAATGTGGCTGTAAATACAGAACTATTCAGAGACGGAAAGATGTTTCTCTTATTTGTGTCTCATTAAATCAAATCTGTTTCTCTGTTGACTCATTTAAAGCTGAAACCAGATGGATGAGAAAAAAGAAAGAGAACTGCAGCCGTCTGTTGATTCTGTCAGATATAAAAATCACACGACTGTTCAGTGAGCAATGTGCAAATGTTTTAAACGCCTGAATTCATTCATTCATTCTGAGAATAACTGTGTCGTCAGAAAACACTGAAAGATTAATGTTATTTAAAGACGAGGACAAACTGAGGAGCAGCATGCAGAATCTGCAGTCTCACCTGGACAGCTCTGTCAGGTGAACTACAGGAGTTTCTGTATCAGAGTAATGTCCAACAGCTGCAGTGTTTACCACTTTAATAAGAAAAATAACAACAATATTAATAAACATTCATTCAGACTTTTATTTTGTAAAATCTAATCACAGACAAAACAGCAAAACATAAAAATCATCTTTGTTTTTTTATTATTTCAATGAACATTTTAAGAGAGAGTAAAGAAAAGAATTTAAATATAAAACAAAAGAATAAAACAGATTTCAGGTTTACAGCAGCGTCACATTTGATACTGAAACAGGAGCACCACAACACCTGGAAACACCTGCAAGCACATAAAAAGACCCGAAAACACCTGCAAACACCCGAAAACACCTGAAAATATCTGCAAACATCTGAAAACACCTGCAAACACCTTAAAACCTCTGCAAACACCTGCAAACATCTGAAAACCTCTGCAAACATCCAAAAACACCTGAAAACACCTGCAAACACCTGCAAACATCTGAAAACCTCTGCAAACATCTGAAAACACCTGAAAATATCTGCAAACATCTGAAAACACCTGCAAACATTTGAAAACCTCTGCAAACATCTGAAAACACCTGCAAACATCTGAAAACCTCTGCAAACACCTGCAAACACCTTAAAACCTCTGCAAACACCTGCAAACATCTGAAAACCTCTGCAAACATCTGAAAACACCTGCAAACATCTGAAAACCTCTGCAAACATCTGAAAACACCTGCAAACATCTGAAAACCTCTGCAAACACCTGCAAACATCCAAAACACCTGCAAATACCTGCAAACATCTGAAAACACCTGCAAACATCTGAAAACACCTGCAAACACCTTAAAACCTCTGCAAACATCTGCAAACATCTGAAAACACCTGCAAACATCTGAAAACACCTGCAAACACCTTAAAACCTCTGCAAACATCCAAAAACACCTGAAAACACCTGAAAACACCTGCAAACATCTGAAAATCTCTGCAAACACCTGCAAACACCTGCAAACACCTTAAAACCTCTGCAAACATCTGCAAACATCTGAAAACCTCTGCAAACACCTGAAAATACCCAAAAACACCTGCAAACACCTGAAAACACCTGAAAACAGCAGAAGGACACAGTTTTTCTGTTTTATTACCATCTCTAAAGATGCTAACAGATGCTAAAGATGCTAACAGATGCTAAAGATGCTAACAGAAAGCCACTGAAGTGAACTGAAGTGAAGTGAAGTGAAGTGAAGTGAAGTGAAGTGAAGTGAAGTGAAGTGAAGTGAACACGCTGCTTTTCTCTTTAACGTTTTCTTGCTGCAAACAGAAAAAAAAAAGAAAAATGAAATGACTTCTTCAAGCTGAGGCACTTTACAAGCTGTGATTACAACATGAGAGAAACAACAAGCAGCAGCTCTTCAGGGCCAAATAATGACAGAAATACAGACAGAGCTTCATCGAGCTGCAGCCGCACGCTGCAATTATCCTGCAGCACAACATGGAATATTGTCAGGTGTGAGTCATCACTGTTAACACCTGACAAATCACTTCAGCCTTTATTCACCATTACACCTGTTCATTAGGATCCTTACACCTGTTCATTAGGATCCTTACACCTGTTCATTAGGATCCTTACACCTGTTCATGTTCCACCTGCAGACAGAGAGCAGGAGGCTGAACTCTGCACACATTCAAACATGCAAATATTCACTTCACTTACATCAAGTGTCAGGCTGCACGCTACACACTACACGCTGCACGCTACACACTACACGCTGCACGCTACACACTACACGCTGCACACGCTACACGCTACACGCTGCATGCTACACGCTACACGCTACACACGCTGCACATGCTACACGCTACAAACACACTGAGCAATGACCAGCAGGAATGTTCTCAGACCTGAAGTTGCCAAAAACAAGAATTTATATCAAAATGCATAAAAGATTAAAATAAATACACATACATGCTGACGACCTGTACTAAAACCTTTTAATCTTAATAATAATTTTTCTTTCTTCAGATCAAACGTTTGTTTTGTATTCTGGCAGTTTCAGAGCTCTGGATAGCAAATCTTTAGAATGAATAAATCTGGAATCACTAATATCTTTACATGTTTGTTCAAACCAACTCAGAAAACCTGAACATTAAAAGTCTTGTTAGTCCAGAACAGTAAATAAAGTCATGTTTCCTCTCAAACATTTAATTCATCACTAAGTTCCTGGATCCACCACGACAGGAAGAGTCTCCACTGTGAGCTCGTCCTGCAGCTTGTCTTTATTTAAACCTCCAAACAGCATCAAAGAAAAGTCATGAAGGGAAAGGACTGTTAACTTCCAGAGTCTGCTCAGATTTCAGGACAACAATCAACCAGCTGCAGTTCTGCTGCTGAACACAGTTTTTATAAATGCTGATGGGTTCTGTTTGTTCTGCTTCAGTTTCTAATGTTCGTCCAGCTCCACTCTGCAGACGCTCCTCATGACAGTTTTACAAAGTGGAAACATTTGTTGCATTAAACTCAGACCTGATGAAGTGAATCACATGTTTAACATTTGAATCTATATTATTTACAGTAATAAGTTAGAATACACAGAACAATAGGTTAAATACAGTCAGTTTACTTTGTACTGACAACTGAAGAGCAGGACTTTTATCAGATAAACACAGTTTGGTTTGTAAAACGAAGCAAAAGAAAGAAAAGCTGAGTTTTTACAGTAATATTGAGACAATTTGTTACATAACTGCTTCAGTAAAGACAAACTCATTCAACTTTAAGACACAGAGAGATTTATCTAAAACAGGACAACTTGTTATTTTCTGTGTTTTTATTGAGTTGTTTTAAATAAAATGTCCTTGTCAAGTTTTATCCACAAGTTTCTGTTTTTCATCAGAATTATTGGTCTGAAAGCTTCTGCTTTCATTTTCATCAGTCAGTGCAGAACTGAGTCCTTCCAGCTTTACTCCAGATACAAGATGCAGGAGAGGACAGGACGGGAGGGGAGAGGACAGGACAGGAGGGGACGGGACAGGACAGGACGGGACAGGAGAGGACAGGACAGGACAGGAGAGGAGAGGAGAGGAGAGGAGGGGAGAGGACAGGACAGGACAGGACAGGACAGGACAGGACGGGACAGGAGAGGACAGGACAGGAGAGGACAGGACAGGACGGGACAGGACAGGAGAGGACAGGAGAGGACAGGAGAGGACAGGACAGGAGAGGACAGGACGGGACAGGACAGGAGAGGACAGGAGAGGACAGGAGAGGACAGGACAGGACAGGACAGGACAGGACAGGACAGGAGAGGACAGGAGAGGACAGGACAGGAGAGGACAGGACGGGACAGGACAGGAG